GCAGCGCTGAAGCAGAACAAGTTGTGCCGGAAGTGTCTGGCGAAGCATTTCGGAGCGTGTGCGGTAAAGCAAGCTTGCGGAAAAAATGGTTGTTCATACATGCATCATGAGCTGTTACACGACGATTCCAGATATCAGCAAAGAGAAACTTCTGGAGGATCGACTCCTCATGTTGAGGCACCAGTTGAAACCTGCAACACGCACGTAAGCAACGTCGGTAAGGTATTGTTTCGATACGTTCCAGTCCTCCTTCATGGGCGTGGAAAATCTGTTCGTACATTTGCCTTTCTAGATGATGGCTCGTCGGCAACATTGATGGAACATAGTTTGCTGAGTGAACTAGGTCTTGAGGGTGAACCGTATCCATTGTGTCTTGGATGGACAGCCGACCAGCAACGTCAGGAAATGAACTCCGTTAAACTGGAATTGGAGATATCAGGAATACACGATACAAAGATGCACTGGATTCCCAAGGTACATACCGTTGAAAGTCTCGCTTTACCACGGCAAGCTCTTGCGATGGAAAAATTGGCGTGTCGCTATCATCATTTGAAGGACGTGCCGGCTGACTCATATCGCGAAGTCGCACCGAGGATGCTGATCGGAATGGACAACTGTCGTTTGGGACACGCGTTAGACAGCAAAGAGGGGAAGAAGAACGAGCCGATTGCTACCAGAACACGCTTGGGCTGGATAGTATTTGGACCCTGCGCTGTAACAACCCAATCGGTGTCAGGCTTCACAGCATATCACAGTTTCAACGTGTGCCCGTGTTGTGAGCGTAACGATGCGGAGCTGCATAAAACGGTGAAAGAGTACTTCTCGCTGGACAACATAGGAGCTGTGCGCCCTATCAGGCCACTTCTATCAAAGGATGACGAGCGAGCGGAGCAGCTATTGATATCGCTCACTCACGTTAAAGGTAAGCGGTACGAGACGGGATTGCTTTGGCGGAACGATGATGTTCGGCTGCCAGACAGCAAGTCGATGGCTATGAGACGACTGATTTGCTTGGAAAAGCGAATGCAGCGGGACCCTGAACTGGCCGAAGCGCTGAAGGAAAAAATTCGGGACTATGAGCGATCCGGATACATCGAGAAGCTGACAGAGAGCCAACTGGCCGAGAAATTCCCACGCGTATGGTATCTGCCAATTTTCCCGGTGGTTAATCCGAATAAACCAGGGAAGATGCGCATAGTTTGGGATGCGGCTGCGAAGGTAGCGGGAGTCTCACTGAATTCGTTCCTGCTCACTGGACCGGATCTACTAACTTCTCTTTTGTCCGTGCTGTACCGTTTCCGGGAATTCCGGATTGCCATTACGGGAGATATTCGGGAAATGTTCCTGCAGGTGCTAATGAACTGGATCGACCAACAGTGCCTTAGGTTCCTGTGGCGGAACGGCGACACAGGCCGTAGTCCAGATGTTTATGTGATGAAGGTCATGACATTTGGAGCAACGTGTTCACCTAGCTGTGCGCAGTATGTCAAGAACCACAATGCGCAACGTTTCCAGGAGCAGTTTCCGAGGGCAGCTGACGCAATAGTCAAGGAACATTACGTCGACAATATGCTCTCTAGCGTTGAGTCGGAAGAAGAGGCGATAAAGTTGGCGAAAGATGTCCGGGTTGTCCACGCAGAGGCGGGGTTCGAAATTCGCAACTGGCTGTCGAACTCAAACCGAGTGCTGCGGGAGTTGGAAGCCAAGCCAGGCGAGAAAAGCTTGAATCTGACCAGCGAGATGGGGACGGAGAAAGTTCTTGGCTTGTGGTGGTGCACCGCTACCGACACCTTTACCTTCAAAGTATCCCCAAGGATTAACGCTGATCTTCTTCAGGGTCATATCGTGCCAACAAAGAGGCAGATCTTGAGTACACTGATGATGATCTATGACCCCCTAGGATTGCTGGCGAACTTCCTGGTGTTCCTGAAAATACTACTTCAGGAAATTTGGCGCAGCGGTGTTAATTGGGACGAACCAATCAAGAGCGAACAGTGGGAGAAATGGCAGACATGGTTGCGAGTTTTGCCGCAAGTGGAGACTGTTAGCGTGCCCAGGTGTTACCGGATGAAGACGGGCATTGGAGAGCGAAATGTGATTCAGCTTCATGTGTTCGTGGATGCATCTGAAAACGGGTTTGCTGCGGTTGCTTATCTGCGGTTCGAGGAGCAAGGCATAGTAGAATGTGCACTAGTCGGCGCAAAGACAAAAGTTGCTCCGTTGCGATTTGTATCGATTCCCAGACTGGAACTTCAGGCAGCAGTTATCGGAGCACGACTGGCGAACAAGATCATGGAGTCACACAAGCTAACACCTGTGCAACGGTTCTTCTGGACAGATGCACGCGACGTTCTTTGTTGGCTGAACTCCGATCACCGGAAATATAACCAGTTCGTAGCGGTGCGGATCAGTGAAATGCTGGAGTTGACGGAACCAAATGAATGGAACTGGATCCCGTCGAAACTAAACGTTGCGGACGATGCCACGAAATGGCAAAAGCTACCGGATTTTGCTCCTACTAGTCGTTGGTTTCGTGGACCTGAATTCTTGTGGGGTCCGAAAGAGCAATGGCCTGTTGCTGCGTCAAAATTCGATCAAACTAGAGAAGAAAAACGTCCGCGTGTGCTCCACCACTTCGTAGAACGCGCGTTGTTCAGGTGGGAGGACTTTTCCAGATGGAAGCGTCTGCTGCGTCACGTGGCCTTCGTGAAACGATATCCAGCGAATCTACGCAAGAGGATATCGAAGAAGCCGATCGTAGCCGGTCCACTAACTCAAGATGAGCTGAAGGAGGCGGAGTTTACCATACTCAAGTTTGTTCAGGATTCCGAGTTTGCAACGGAGTTACAAATCATGCAGAAACCGAAACCAATGCCCTGAAAGAACATGTTGCCGAAAAGTAGTTCACTGTACGAACTTAGCCCGTTTCTCGACGTTGATGGATTACTGCATATGAGAGGTCGCATAGACGCTTGCGAATTTGTGGAAGAGTGTACGAAGCGCCCGATATTGTTACCCAAGCGTCATCCAGTTACGGATCTCATCATCGCCGATATTCACCAGCGGTATTGCCACATGAACCATCAGACGGCGCTCAATGAAATCCGGCGTAGATTCTACATTCCTCAGCTTCGCTCAGCATACAATCGTGTACGAGCGAGATGTCAGCTTTGTAAAATCCGCAAGGCTAGGCCAGCTGTTCCTGAAATGTCTGCTCTACCACCCATGCGATTGAAAGCGTTCTGCCGCCCGTTCTCATATATCGGCATTGATTATTTCGGGCCGATGCACGTCATTGTTGGTCGACGGTCCGAAAAGCGTTGGGGCGTGTTGATTACTTGTCTCACCATTCGAGCAATACACCTCGAAGTTGCGCATAGCCTTACAACGGATTCGTGTATCATCGCAATCAGAAACTTCATCGCCAGAAGAGGTTCCCCTCTGGAGATATATAGTGACCGCGGAACAAATTTCGTCGGAACAAACCGAGAATTGATGGAGGCACTACAACAGGTTAACCAGAACAAGCTGATGGAATACTTCGTCACGCCGGACATCAAATGGTCGTTTAACCCACCCGCTTCTCCACACTTCGGTGGCGCATGGGAACGCCTCGTTCAATCAGTTAAGAAGGCCCTGAAGCACCTACAACTCACACGCACACCTACCGACGAGCTATTGAGAAACATGATGGCGGAAATTGAACTAATCGTCAATTCTCGACCACTGACTGAATTGCCGCTAGACGATGAGCTATCCTCACCGCTAACCCCGAATCATTTCTTACTCGGATCGTCAAATGGTTCCAAGCCCCCGATCGCGTTCGAAGATAGTAGCTACGCACTGAAGCATACTTGGAAGATGTCGCAGGTCTACGCAAACAGGTTCTGGAGACGTTGGATAGCTGAATACCTGCCAACTCTAACGCGAAGGACAAAGTGGTTTTGCCCAGCGAAGCCCATCGAAGAAGGAGACGTCGTCGTGTTGGTGGATGACACGCTTCCGAGGAACTGCTGGCCGAAAGGTCGGGTGGTTCACGCAATTCGGTCCAAGGATGGACAGGTTCGCCGTGCTCAGGTGCAAACGGCAACCGGAATACTGGAGAGACCAACCGTCAAAATCGCAGTGCTGGACATCGGTGCGATTGGAAGTACGTCGGATCAGTGACCTCGAAGTACTGGGGGGAGTGTCGCAACCTTCGTTTGCATCGCACCTTGGGTCCAACAACTTTGGGCTGCCGTGTCGTTACCCCACTTTCGGTGAGCCGCTGCGTCTAAAACGTCAGCATGCGGCCTGTACAGATATCGAGACAAAAGGTAAAACATTCAATGTGCGAGTGACAGTGCAAAGGTGAGAAATGCAGATTGGCATTAAAATTAAAATTAGACTTTATTGTAATATTGTTTCATAATTTAGCTTAATACTATCTACGCTAGTGGCAAATTACATATTCTATTTAAAGTTTCACAAATTGTACACAAAAACAGGTAAACACGAATATTAATGAACCATGCAAATAAGTTAACCTAACCCTAGGACAATTTCACACAGCTATTACACATAATTGATGAACAGTACGGATGTTGCGAATACGGACAGAATTAATTACTGAAGAACACTAAACGTAAGTACTAAACAAGTAGATGCAAATTAAAAACACTATCTAACGAATATCCTAAACATAATTAAAGTAAACGATGTTAAAACTCGTAATGCTAAACATAAACCCACGTAGATAATTTAACCTTAAACTACTACGTACAACAAAACTTATGCTACTGTACAATTATGTTTTCTCCGTTAGGGATTTTTTAACGTTACTGTTATTGAAATATAACGTTCACAAAACTGGAAACTGTCTCTTTTCGTCAATCTCGCAACACCTATGTTATAAAGTACCTAGAAGTTCACAGACCTTTTCGGAACAGCCTAAAAATCCATACCTTCAAAAACATCCATCAGAATCGGACGAATTTCTTTCGCAAAATAAGCATATCTCGTTCCGTAGCGTCGAATCTTTTATTCAAACTGTTCCTCCTATTTACACATTACCAGAAGCACTGTCCATCCCGAGTAGGTACGTACCTGCATTCTGACCACGACGTGCGACACTAACACCATTCGATCACTAAAACTGGGGTCACATTATGGAACCAAGTCGAAACCGTTGTTGTCGTTCAAGCGTTCATACGAAAAATGATTAGTTTCGACTTGCCCAATGAGACCCCTGGTATTTTGTGGGTTTGCAACGGTTTTTTGTTTAGTTTGGCTATTTCGCGCGCTGATCGGCTTTCTAAGTTAACAAATCAAATTTATCGACTTGCTCCACCCTGCTCTAGTTTTCAGTGTGGCTTTCTATTCAAATTAAAAATCCTAAATCTTACACGATCCTCCTCGTTTGCAGAGCTGCTTACGTGCCAACCTTCATTTCAACCAAAAAGCTAATATTATGCAGGGCTAGATGTAGAGAAACTGTGAGAATTTATTATTCTAATTTCAGTGAGGAATAGATAACTTTAAGACACGGATTTCGTTACTGCCAACTACGGATTGAAACGATAAACACATAGAGAAATATAAACTGTGCAGTAGTATCGGTTTTTGAACAAACGCGGACGCAAAATATTATAACAGGATAATAACAAAAAAGCCTATTTTCTTGTTTTGATTGGTTATGCAAATATAATAGTGTGTGTGTGTGTGTGTGTAAATTCCTGTGTGTGTGGGTTGTATTTCTGCTAGATGAGCGTTCAACTTTTCATTTCGCGGCGGAACGTGATTCAATCACGTGCACTGTCTGCCACGTCCGACCGCTCCTTCTACATTTCGTTTTTGTCTACTTATAGCGAATGTTACATAAAATCGCCGTACTCATCAAAATCGTCGTATTTGGGGACGTATTCGTCAAAGTTTTGCTGAAAAAAAAAAAGATTTGTAAAATCGATTGTCGTTAGAAATCTTACGAGGAATACTTACATTTTCGCCATCCATTCGTAGCCTGGCTTTGACCTTTACACCTGTCTTCTTCTTGGGCTTATCACCTTTCTCCAATTTCTGCTTCTCCAGATAGAGATTATCAAGAATACCTTTAACTTTCCTAATGTTGGCCGATGGCACTGCAAAAGTTATTACGCCAAAATTATCAACATTACCATCACAAAAAAAAACAAGTGACTGTAGCTTACAACTGGCAAACATTTTGGTGATAAGATCCTCTAAAAAGGCGCAATACTCGGGATCGTTCTTATAATTTGAGAGCTTCTTGTTTATGGCATCGGACAGTTCGATGAATTCTTCCTTGTTGGTAGGATGCATACCGTCGATTCCCCCGGCGATTGTAGTCACACCGAACGTATCCATGGCATTCTTGAGGTCAGACTCTTCTTGCAGTTTCTGAAGCCGAAGTTTCTCGGCCAATTTTTGCTCTGGTGTCATGCTTTCTAATTCCTTCTCCTGCATCCGCCGTTCAGCTTCTTCCTGCTTTTGTTTCTACAAATAAATCAGTTCTCATTCATTTGTTCTGCGACCGAATAGTGTTGTTAATTACTTACTTCTTTTTCGAAAATCTTTTGCTGTAGCGTCTTCTTGGGCTTCGCCTTGGGAGTTTCCAATTTTTCTTCATCCTTCTTTTCCTCTAACTCATCCTCATCTTCCCAGCTGTCCTGTGATCAAAATCATTATTAAATTATCAATTTAATTTTCTCCGAACAATATTCAGTTTTAAGAATGATCTGGCAACCCTTCCCTTGACTAACAACAGCAAAAAAAAACCGACCAGCACAGAATATACCAGAAAGAAACAAATCAAAATGCCACAAAACGCATGGAACTTACCTTCACTTCCTCTTCCTCGTCCTCACCGTCCCATTTGTTGACGTCAGGTTTCTTGACAGGAATTGGCACCTTTTCCTGCTCACTGAGTTGCTCTGTAAAGCAAACATTTTTCATCAAAATTTAGCCCACATAGATTCACAGCTGCTTCGTCCTTTAGAGAATCCCCTCACCCTTGCGACGAATCCCGAGGACACGCAACACATTGGGATTGGATTGCACCATCATCATCACTAACCACGGCACGGCCATCTAGCAGCAGCAATCCAGTCCCGTCTGGTTGGCACACTTTCGAACGCAAATAACTCATCCGAAACGGTAAATACCTACCCCAATCTTCTTCCATTGTGGACGCGATCGTTTGTTTGACCGTTTAAGCACTACTTTCACGCGTTTTGTACGCAATAGATGAAGGATTTTTAAGGATTATTAGCAGCACACACAAAGAGCGAAAGTATCGTCGTGGTAACTTTTTCTTCTGCCATCGTTTTTTTTTTCTCGTCAAGGCGCTCACTCGCGTGTGTGCAGGTTGACAGCTCTCGTTTGACACATGCGGTTGCAGAGGTGTCTGTCGGTTACACCGTTCATAGAAGCTATCTCATTTTTCGGCCTTAGGCATTTGATATAACATATAAATATAATATATTATTGGCTTAAATTTAAATATTTAAATTACGAAACGAAAATCAATTATTTTATTTATGTGTTTCACTTAAACATTTTTGCCAAAACATCAGCCTTATACATTCCATAAGACAATCCACATACGTCCTATAATAATGCATAAACGGTATGTGTGACCGTTTATACATTTCATTTGACACATGATCTTTATTAACTTTTTGCAAGGCGTGTGCTTATTAGTTGACTCATACATTTTATGAATAATCAGCAATATAAATTTGCCCAAAGGTTTAAGGAGATTTCTATCCGTGTACACGGATAGAAATCTTATACCTTTTGGCAAATATTGTAACTGCTTTTTGCTATTACATCATTATTTCATACATCAGCTTGAATTACATTGACCGATATTACATTCTTTTTTGCTTTGTAAACACCAAATTTATATTTTGAGTTTCAGCAAAACAGTTTGCTGAAATGGGTTCAGCATAATAATATTGTACTGGAACTCAGAATTAACATTTTTGGCATTGCCGACACCCAGCAAACAGACGAATGTCAGAGTATTTGCTGATAATCAGTAAATTGAACTTCCTAATGACAGTCGGGAAAAGCTTGCCTACACTGTCTACTTCAAATTTTATTTTTCATTGACGTTTTTTCGTTGCCGTGCTTCCAGGCACGGTACGTTTTTGTTTTTTTAACTATGAGATATTATAAAGTTTCGTGTATACATGGAGCAATGAAAATTGTTGTCGAAAGCGATACCCTAATAAAAAATAACCATAAACGAACGATAACCCAAATCATTGAACTATTCCATAAATGGTTTGGATGATACCCAAAACAGTTAAGCAAATTAACCATACAATTTTTATTAGGGTAGACAACTGGGATGCCGAGAAATTGTTTTGTAAGTTGATTTTTTAGTTATAAATTATGTTTTTGCAGGCTCCAGTGTTTTTTTTTGCAAGCACATAATTGGAGGATAGCAGGAAAGTTGATTTTCTTGCACATGTAAAATTGTCCCACGGGCCCCGCGGATAAAAAAAGTACTCTGAAATTTACTAATTGCCAATGAATAAAATTGTGATTTGCTGTATCGTACTTTTAAATGTGTTTTTTGTGAGTGAGTGTGTGTGAGAAAATACAATAATTTGACAGCTGGTTCCAAACTATGAAGCTGAAACTTGCTGAAGAATCAGTAGAAACGGATATAATTAAATTTACTGTTGTTTCAGTAATGTTTCGTTGAAGTTTGCTGGAAAATCAGTTAAACGCTGTCATTTACATATGTGCGGCAGCTTCAGCAATACATAACAGATTTACTGAAAATTCAGTAAAACGCTGTCATTTTGACAGAAGTTCGAATTTCTGGAAGTTTCAGCAACATTATTTTGCTGGAAGGTTTGCTGATCTTTCGTCAAGTCCAAAATCAGCAAAATTTTGCTGATTTCCAGTGATTTAAATTTGGTGTGTAGGTGACGAAAGCTCGCAAAAATTTTACTGCAAGACGAAAATATCGAGATTTAACCTGAATATGTTAAAATTGATTGTTTTCGCGCTATTCTGAATCTACCCAGTGACTGGGTAGATGGCACCCATTTTTGTATACAGCAAGGAGTTTTCAAAATCTGGGTAAACTAGTTTTGTTCTGATGAGTAGAACTATTTACCCAGAAAATTTTAATTCTCAATATATATAAATATAATAATCTGATGCTAAAAAAAATTACAGATATGGAACTGTTTTCATGGCGAATGATACCAGAGTGAAAAGAAGCCACTACTGTTTTTCAGTGAATGTATTTTACATTCACTGAAAACCAGCAACATGTTCTGCCCTTTCTAGTTCGTTTATTTGTTTATTTGTTTATTTGTTGTGGTTGCATCAACAGACTAGAAATAGTCCCAATAATGTGTTGTAAAAAAAGTACAGATTATACAGACGACATACATATACTACAATTACTACAGTTACAAACGAAAATAACTTGGAAAGCATTGTCAAGTTACTAAAAATTAAATTTTACACTTAGCTGTTAGGTATCAAGCGCCTTCGATCAGCAAAAAAGGCAGAGAATCTTCGGCGAAGCATATTCCGTGTCAAGTGGAATTCGAACATCGACGCTACTCGGTTGAACACTAGCTGCAAGCCGTAAATAGCGCTCCCTATGCTATAATTAGTTCGAAGAAGTGGAAGTCTCAGCATAAGACTGTTACGTAGTGATCGAGGTTGAACATTAATGTTCACTTGTTGCAGAATTGCTTCGCAGTCGATTCTTCCTTGCAGAGTATCGGCGACGGTTAAGGCTCTGAACACATCTCTTCGGATACGTAAGGGCTCGATATTGATCAATTGGCAGCGATTCTCGTAGCTTGGAAGACGAAGTGGGTATCTCCAAGGCAGCTTACGGAGCGCGAAGCGAAGAAAACGTCGTTGAACAGATTCAATTCGCTCGGCTCCATTATTGTAGTTCGGGCTCCAGACAGCAGAGCAGTATTCCAACGTAGATCGTACGAGAGAGCAATAGAGCGATTTCAAGCAGTAAATGTCCGTGAAGTTCTTAGTAATCTTGAAGACAAAGCCAAGCGTTCTGGACGCTTTGTCGACGACATACGATATATGGTGTGAGTATGTCAGCTTTGAGTCTAGAAAAACGCCTAAGTCTTTCACGCAGTGCACCCGTTCGATAGTCGTGCCTAGTAGTTTGTAGTTGAAAATAATCGGTTGTTTCTTGCGTGAGAAAGTAATAACTGTACACTTAGCTGGGTTGACCACCAGTCGGTTTAGACTACACCAGTCAGCAAAGATGTCAATCTGATTTTGGAGAGAACGGCAGTCGGCGAGTGAGCGGATGCGCAGAAAAACTTTCAGATCGTCTGCAAACGATAATCGTGGCTCTGTGATAACATGGTGAACGTCGTCGAAGTAGAGGAGAAATACCAATGGTCCCAGATGGTATACCGGACTTTGCATAACATCTCTGATCACGCCTTCCTTCGGATGGGAAGTAAGCCGTTGGTCCCCGGTTCATGAGTTGATGGGTCGATAGGTAGGGTCCAGGTGTGGGAGCTGCCTTCCTGGCACGTCGGTAGCATTGGTGCTCAGCACGGAAAACAAGATCGACGGAAAAAACAAACCAAAGGAAAAAAAAAAAAAAAATGTTCGTGGATGACGTTTCTGCCACCGGAGTGGTAGAGGCATGCAACGATGTGTGGTTTTAGGTAGCATGCTAAAGATTCTCGAGTATCCGTTTCCCTGATCTCTATTAAGCAACGCTGATGGATTATGTTTAAATATTTCTAAAATTTCTGCTACGTCTAGCTTCCAAGGCTCAATAAATGGTTTCAATGTCGTATTCCGTAGTTTATATTTTCGATAATACGACCGCAACAATCAATAATAGGCTAGAGGAGCTAGTCGGTTGAGGTTATGTTTGATAGAGCTACTGCAGCGGTCATATTATCTAAATTCTATTTAAATATTTAAATGGGTAAAGTATACCTTTTTATCAAATGTCAACATCAGATTAACCGTTACCCAGTTTCTGTTGCAGGTACGTTTACCCAGATTTAGGTAAATACATGTTAACCTATTTTTGGTAGCTTCAGTTTCGACGAATCTGGGTGGATCTACCCAAATTTGGGTAGTTTTGAAATAGCGTGTTTGGCATATATGGCATAAACTTGAAGAACACGGTGTAATTCATAAGACATCAAGACTACCTGAAGCAGATATTCTACTATGATATCGATTCATGTCAAATAATAATATGAGTCAAATTAGAATAAATCAAGCTAAACATTGCATTAGATCCTAAGTAACATTGACACATTCCCTTCGTAGACCTTCTCTTTGAATCCCCCACGGCCATGTAAAGATATTTCTTCAGCACACAGATCGATAAAATAAGCTTTTATCTAGCATCTAATACGACAAACACAACAAGAAACGGTTATGTGCTCAAGTTAATAACGAAAGAGAAAGTCGACGAAGAGAATCGATCAATGTTACTTAGGACCCAATGCAATGTTCAGCTTGAAATATGTCAAAAAATATTTTGCTCGGGTATCCATTTAGTTGTGTTGTGTTGTCTGTCGATCATCATCATCATTTTTTCATTCATTCATTCGTTCGCAGCGCAACAGAGTGGCGAATTTTTCAAAGCCTGGCCGCCGCGAGTGCAAATTTCCGTAAGATCTGTACCATTTCAGGTGCATTAGAGTGATTAGGTTACCGTTTATCTTAATTACCAGCTTCGTTACTGTGATACTCGCTGTTGATATTGAAAAAAGAAAGGATATTTTTTTTTTCGAACAAAAGTGCAGAAGAAAGTTTTGGTCAGAAGAGAAAAAGAAACATGACATCACATTCCTTCTCACGTCTGCAAGATCGATGATGATGATGATGATGACGATAGAGGCATAATCGTGCGGGGGTGGGAAGAGGCGAATCATTGAAATAGGATTAGTTTTTTGTTTACATTTGATGCACCGAGAAGAATTGAAGCAGCTGTGGAAATTAAATTGGTAAAGTGAAAAAAGTGTAATTTTTGTGACGTGGAAGAGGGTTAGTAGTAAAAAAGCGTCAGCAATGCCGGAAAGGAACAATGTGGATTGGTCTAGGTGAGTGGGGGAAATACTGAAGAGTAGACAGTTTTTTGTTATTGTATACAGTTTATACTAACTGCTAATGTGTTTGCAGGTATGGATTAGGGAGCGATGACTCATCCCCAACAGATAGATCCCGGACCAGAGGAACTGTGGGAGGGTTTGTAGATCTGGGCAACGAGTACGATTACGGAGCTGGAGGGCATCATGCATCCGGAAGGGATGAGATCTTTGCCGAGGATCAGGGCGACAAGCCCTGGTGGAGGAGCAACTTCTTCATATCACAACCGGTGCTGTTTGGAACGTGGGATGGAGTATTTACGTCCTGTTTGATCAACATCTTTGGTGTTATTGTATTTTTACGATCCGGATGGATTGTGGCGGAGGCTGGTATTATGCATGCGGTGTTGATAATTTTCTGCGCAGTAGCGATTGCCCTGGTGTCGGTATTGTCGGCGGTCGGAATTTGTGAACGCTGCCGAGTGGAAAGTGGTGGAGTATACTTTTTAATCGCTCACACACTGGGATCCAGATTTGGAGGGTCACTTGGAATGATGTACTGCTTCGGACAGGCAGTAGGATGTGCGCTGAATGTGCTCGGTTTCGGGGAATCAATGGCGGGGCTTGTTGGATTGGAAGGTAACAAATGGGCAATCAGATTGTTCGCGATTGCAGCCGTCCTGCTTCTCGGAGTCATCAATGTGGCCGGAGTGAAATGGGTAGTGAAGCTTCAGTTTGCCCTGCTGATTATTTTGCTGGTGTCAGCATTGAACTTTATGGTAGGCAGCTTCACCGGAGAGGACCCGGAGCATGGATTCGATGGTTGGGGACAAGGAAATATGGCCTTAAATCTGTGGCCAAAATATAGCGAAGGCACGACATGGTTCACAGTTTTCGGAGTATTCTTCCCTACTATTACGGGTATTCTCTCTGGGATCAACATGAGTGGAGATCTGCGAGCGCCATCAACCGACATTCCAAATGGAACATTAGCTGCACTGAGCACTTCGACGTTTCTATACATGGTCTTCATTCTATTCCTTGGAGCAACGTGTCAAAGATACACCCTGCTGACTGATTTCATGATTGCCGTGAAGGTGTCGGCAGTTCCGTTTCTTCTGCTTGCTGGCATCTACGTTTCGAGTATGTCGTCTTGTCTGGGGGCGATGTACGGTACACCACGTGTGTTGCAAAGCATTGCTAATGAAAACGTCATTCCCGGTATTGGTAAACTCGGCATGGGTCGTGGGCCAAACAAGGTTCCCCTCTACGCGATGGCCGTAGTGGCTACAGTGACAACGACGTTTATCATCGTTGGTGACATCAACACACTAGCTCCAATCGTCACTATGCCATTCCTGCTGACCTATGCTTGTATCGATTATTCGTACTTTGCTCTAGCACAAACATTCGACATTCAAAACGTAAGAGAAGAGCGATTCAGAATACAAGCGCAGAGTCCGCTATATGAAACCAGAAATTACGGTACGACAGGTGACTATCAGGATAATAACGATCTGGATCAGCTGTTTCCGGAGCGAACCCGGCACAAAAACCTGTCGGTAAGATGATCGGAAAAATCTATCTTGTGTTACGAATTAATAAGTTTTTTTTTCTTTCCTTAAAGCAGAGTCCAACCAATTCACCGCACCATGTGCCTTCGAATGCTACAGCTCGTCCGGTGGTGAATGGAGGAGCCAACAGCAGTTACCCGAACGGAGGGCTGTCCAACAGTACATCGATCAATAGTGAGGTGATTTTCCGTGATGGAACAGGGAATGGCAGCACGGCTGGTACCAATTCACTGTCCGAGGCCGACGATGAACCGATTGCACCGATTCGGCCACCGATCCACTCTAAAACGAAAAACTGGTACTCGGGCTTCTGCAATCGGTGGGCTTCGCTGATGGGGGTGAGTAATTTTCTAAAAGCTCTTATATATTGTTAAATGGGGACAAGATTTTTTGAGAGATTAGCTATGAGTAACTGCAGTTTTTTTCTTTCCAAATATGAGTAAATTTCGTATGGAAAGAAAATGCTCTGAGTCAATTGAATTCAGTTGCTGAGTTATTGTTGTTGGCCGTGTGAATCATGTTACTGTGTCACCTGACTTATAACGAATATACGTTGTATACGAGTACCCCGAATACAACGTATAGTTCGTCTAATTTTACATTGCAAATGCTATGCAAAATTAGACGAGTCATACCTTGTATTCGGGGTACTCGTATACAACGTATATTCGTTATAAGTCATGTAACACAGTAGGAGCAAACTATCCACTGGGTAAGAACAAACATACAAATGAGGGGTTTCAGATAACCGTGCAATTAAACGTAAATAAACAGTTCTCGCGTCAGTTTTCAAATATAGAGAATATAGACCAATGTAATGAAGCGGTGCATTTAGCAAAGCTACAGTGTAGAAATAATATAGGTCTAAGTTAGCCATGAGTTATTCGAATAAAATTCGTTCTTCTTTTGTCGTCGCTCTTACGGACTAGACGCTATTTTCCTTTGCTCCATTCCTCCCAAGAGGTTATGGGCCCAGCAAGTTACCATAGCAACCGATAAACAGAGTGATATTTTTTCCGACGTGCGTAAGTTAGTCGCGTTCGGGAGTGTTCCGTCGTTTTTTTCTTAGCCGGAGATGACTACAATCGAGAAATTGGGTGTCCCACGGCTAAACGGAAGCAACTACAGCAGCTGGAAATTTAAAGTTGAGCTGTTGCTGATTCGATAGGATCTCTGGGATTAAGTGACAGGGACGTGCCCAGTGCAGATGGAAGCGAACGCAGCAGCAGTAGCGGCGTGGCGAAAATGTGACCAGAAAGCAAGGGCTACAATCGGTCTTCTGGTAGACGATAGCCAACGGAATCTGATCCAGGACACCACTACGTCAAAGGAAAAGGAACTACGAGCGTACGACGCTCACGTCGAAGGTATCCATCTTCAAGAAACTTTGCGACATGCGGTACACCGATGGGGAGGAAATCGACAAGCGCATCACCGAGATGCAAGATCTATTCGAACGGCTGTCGATAGCAGGCCAGGTGCTGGATGCTAATTTGCAAGTTGCGATGGTCCTTCGAAGCATGCCGGATTCTTTCAATCCGCTTACAACGGCACTGGAAAGCCGTTTTGATGATGACCTAACGTTCGACCTAGTCAAGACGAAGTAGCGAAGCGTAATTGTGCCGGTGGTGCACATTCGGTACTGAAGGCAGGTACGAAGAGGCAAATCGTTTGCCACCATTGCCATAAAGTTGGCCACAAGCTGAAGGATTGTCGTTTGCTGACCCAGAGCAAGGATGCAGAACCACCAAAGAAACATGACTCGAAGCAATCCAGCAGACCTACGAAGGCGAAAGCAGTTCGAAGTGGTTCCGACGAGTATGCTTTCATCGCAACCATAGGCAGTGACGTCAACTTGTGGGTGGGTGATTCTGGCGCAACGTACCACATGGCAGCCAACAAGGAGTTTTTCGAGTCACTGGACGAGTCCGTCTCCGAAAACATCGTGCTGGCGAATGGAATGAAGACCAAATCGGCTGGAAAAGGTATGTGTCGTATTCAGTGCGTTGGTGAAGAAGGAAATATCAACAGCATGACCCTCAATGATGCGCTATTTGTCCCTGATCTTGAATCGAATCTGTTCTCTGTACGATCTGCAACGAAGAACGGCGCCACTGTCATTTTCGACGATGCAGAATGTCGGATTTCCAAGGGCAGCAAGGTTATAGCTCTTGGCTCGGTATCTGGCCGTTTGTACATCCTTCGGATCACCTATATGGCGCATATGGCCAACGGCAATAGTCACACGGAAAATTGTCAGCACGCGTGGCACTGGAAGCTCGGTCACAGAGACCCAGAAGCAGTCGCCGAGTTGGAATCGAAGAATCTGGCTACCGGGATCAAGATAGTGAGCTGTATGCAAGTGTTGTTTGGAGGGCAAGTTTGCCTGGCTCCCTTTCCCCAAGCAATCCAAGACGAAAACGAAGCAAGCACTCGACCTCGTGCACACGGATCTTTGCGGACCGATGAACACACTAACGCCAGGTGGTTGTCGGTACTTCATGGCGATTACCGATGACTTCACGCGGTACTCGCTGGTGTATTTTGTGAAGAAAAAGTCGCAAGCAATTGATTACATCAAGCAATATGTGCAGGAGATGAAGACAACGTTCGGCAGGTCACCGAAAGTAATTCAATCGGACCAAGGTGGTGAGTTCAAGAACCAGCAGCTAGAGAATTTTTGTCGTCAAGAGGGCATTCGGGAGCAGTTTAGTACCAGCCACACGCCTCAGCAGAACGGAGTAGCTGACAGGAAAAATCGTTCGTTAGTTGAGATGGGAAGGTGCATGCTGCTTGATGCCAGAATGCCAAAGCAATACTGGGCCGAAGCAGTAAACACAGCGTGTTACCTCTAGAACCGTTTGCCGTCAAGTACCGTGCCGGAAACGCCATACGAACTGTGGACTAGAGAGAAACAAGACGTCACCCATCTTCGATTGTTCGGATCACAAGCCTTCGTGTGGGTCGCAAAAGAGAAGCGTACGAAATTGGACCCAAAGTCGACGAAAATGACCTTCGTCGGTTATTCGCAGCAGCACCGGGCTACCGTTTCCTGGATCTAGCGACGAACAAGCTCGTCGTATCTCGAGATACCAGGTTCATTCCAGCAGATGAGGTTCGGGAAACCGAACCTCACGAGGGAAGTATCGTTTTTTATCCCTTCAAACCTATGTCCGTTGAGGATGATGAGAAACCCGATAAATTCGAGTTGGAGCTTTCGGAATCCGATGAAGACGATTTCGAAGGGTTTTCTGATAAATCCTTCAGCGCCGGAGAGGATTTTGACACTGCCACCGAGGACGAAGCGGAGGATGTACGACGGTCCAGCCGTAAAAACAAAGGTGTTTTACCGTTGCGGTATCAAGAAACCACCCGCCTAGTTTCCAATCAGCAAGATGAACCCCGTACCTATGACGAAGCTATACGCAGCCAGGTACGCCACGAGTGGAAGAAGGCAATGGATGAGGAATTCGCAATCCTTCAAGAAAACTCTACATGGGAGATCGTGAAGCTGCCATCGAAACAAAAACCAGTCGGATGCAAATGGATCTTCAAGAAGAAGTTGGATGAGTCTGGCCAAGTGATCCGCTACAAAGCACGACTCGTAGCACAGGGCTACAGTCAGAAGTTCGGCACCGACTACGACGAGGTTTTTGCTGCAGTAGCCAAACAAACTACGTTTCGAACGCTGTTGACGATTGCCGCTTGTCGATCCCTGCAAGTCAAGCACATCGATGTGAAGTCAGCGCATACCTGCACGGAGACCTCTCCGAGACCATTTACATGAAGCAACCAATGGGCTATCCAGTAGGATCTTAGGAAGAGGTGTGTATGCCATCCGGCGAGCGTTACCAGAGTCTGGTCGGTGCTTTGCTATACGTTGCGTTGTGCACCAGACCCGATATTGCGATTGCTGCGTCTATACTGGGACGAAAGGTGAGCCAAGCTACCGAAGCGGATTGGTCCGAGGCGAAGAGGACTTTACGGTACCTCAACGCAACAGCTGACTTGAAGCTTGAGCTTGGCGGAACCGGCGGTCTCGAAGAATTTGTGGATGCAGACTGGGCTGGTGACCTTTTTAAGCTCGGAGGTGGTTCAATCAGCTGGGCCGCTAGGAAACAGCAATGTGTCAGCCTGTCGTCTACAGAAGCTGAGTACGTTGCACTATCCGAGTCTAGTCAGGAGTTACTCTGGCTGTTGAAGCTAATGGAGAACATAGGCGAGGTCGTCGATGGGCCAGTGGTGATGTACGAGGACAACCAGAGCTGCATCGCCATGCTGTCATCCGAAGGAGGAAGCCGACGAACCAAACACATTCATACACGGTTCAACTTTGTGCGAGAACTGATGTCGACTGGCGTGATGGAAGTCAGGTACTGTCCAACGGAATCAATGGTCGCAGACATACTCACGAAGAGATTTAAGCTGGAGAAGTTCCGTACCATGATCGGCCTGAAGTTCTTCGACGTTGAGGAGGAGTGAAGCGGTGCATTTAGCAACGTGAAGAGCTGCAGTGTAGAAATAATATAGGTCTAAGTTAGCCATGAGTTATTTGAATAAAATTCGTTCTTCTTTTGTCGTCGCTCTTACGGGCTAGACGCTATTTTACTTTGCTCCATTCCTCCCAAGATGTAACATTATCGAAGTTGAAGTTCGATAGATTATTAGTATTAGACACAATACATTTTGCAATACTATTTTTAATGTAGTCAGTGAATAATAACGTTGAAAATTCGGTAGAAACGGTAAAATCACAAGTTTACTTTGAATTTCATGCTACAACATAGAAAAAAAAACCACATAGGACGTTTTAACAAGTCAAGTTGTACATCGGACATGTTACATTGGACGATTTTTCTCAATGACATAATCAATGAGTGTTATACCCTGGACAGACTATGGCTTATATCATGTAATATAGGCTGTATTTCAATGAGCACTCATGCATAGGATTTCCAGTGAAAACTAGATGTATGAGTGCTCATTGCAAGATAGCTCATATTACATGATATAAGCCATAGTCTGTCCAGGGTATTATAGTACGTTCAGACTACAGAGTTATAACATGTTATAGCGCTATCTTGATGGTGGTTTCTGTGTTGCAATTAGTTGACAACCGTTATAACATGTTATAACTCTCCAGTCTGAACAGCGTTTTACATTGCACGTTTTGTTTACATGATACTAAATTCCCTTTCACAGATTTCAGAGTAGAGTACCTAACTTTATACCCCGGACAGACTATGGCTTATATCATGTAATATAGGCTGGCTTGCAATGAGCACTCATACATCTAGTTTTCACTGGAAATCCTATATATGAGTGCTCATTGCAAGCC